GGACATTTTAAGAGAGATTTTTCAAAATAGGCTAAATGAAAAAGAACTTTTTATCTATCAGTTGCTTAACAGAATAAAACTAAAGAACCATACCACCCCAAACCATTCCTCAAGTATATGGATTAATCCATAGCTAAGTCTACACATTTCTTTAATAAACACGTTGTCAATTTTTTTTTTCCTTTTTGTCTTTTTTACTGACCGGTAACAGGATCACAACCCTCAGTGTTGCGCCCGCACTGCGCTCAACCAGTGAGCGGGAACCAGTCTCCACATGGGATCCGAACCCTCCGCGGGAGCGCCGCTGCACTCCCAGACGGCGCACTCTCCAGTGCGCCACCGGGCCGGCCCAACACGTTGTCAATTTTAAGTGTCCAGTGTTTGTTGACCCCCAATGTTATGTTTCAGGGAACTACTATTATTACTTGCCTTGGGCTCACAAAAAGCCAGTTGTTACCCTGACTTCATACTGGGAGGATATTAGTCATCGGCTGGATGCAGTGAACACTCTTCTAGTTATGGCAGAACGGCTGGTAAGTTTATCTTTTCTACATTTTTTTTTTCATCAGACAGTGAGTTATGTATTAATTAGGATGAAGGCGAGGGCACTATAACACAAGACTTCAAAACACTTCAACAAGGTCACAGCAATTTCTCTAGTAACAGATGAGATAGATGGTCCAGAGCTACTGCGGAGGATTAGTGGGTTGGGGACCCAGGCTCTCTCCCTGGCTGCTCTGCCATCACTGAGGAGTTGTCCTTGTGTGCATGGTAGAGGCAGCTTACCACTACACCCACCCTCCAGCCGGAGGGAAGGGGACAGAGTGGGGAGAAGATGACACAGGCCTTTCCCTCGACGGGAAAGACCCAGAACTATACACTTGATTCCTACTCATTTTCCATTGGCCAGGATCCAGTTACACAGCCACTTCTGACTACAAGGAAGGGCATACATTCAGATGAAAGTTTTTTTACTGTGGAAGAGGGGAGGATGGAAAAGGAAGGCGGGGTGGGGGGGGACTAAATTTCTGCCACAATTTGTATGTGGAGAATGACTTATTCCCATAGCAGCATGGAACTCTCAGAGCTTTGCTGTTAGCTCAGTAAAAATCTTCATTATAGGAAGAGGTGGCTTAGAGGGACCAGTGCCTGACCTGTTCAGCTCTTGCTGCAGACTAGAGAAACTTCCCTTGTTTGGAGGCTGGGGGTTTTCTGTGGTAGAAACTGCATAGATATGATACGTATGATTATCCATTTAGTTGACATTGGTCAACTAGATTGGTGACGCGAAGAGGGATTGAAATATTTCATGTTAGGGGCCGGCCCGGTGGCGCACTGCTACAGTGCACCGCTTTGGAGCGCGGCTGGCGCGCCCACTGAGGGTTCGGATCCCACATACAGACCGGTTCCCGCTCACTGGCTGAGCGAGGTGCAGGCGCAACACCGAGGGTTGCGATCCCGTTGCTGGACACACAAAAAGGAAAAAAAAAAAAAAGAAATATTTCATGTTAACTCAAAGATACAAAGTTACCCCTATCAAAGTACTGATGAAAGACATCTTGAATTAGTGTTTTGATTTCCAAATGATATGAATATTATTTGTTTCTGAGTTCTAACCTCTACCAAGACTGGACCAAGGCATATGTAGTTCCTGGAGTATACCTGATCTAAGACCCTGTGGCAAAATTTAAAACTATTATCTTATGTTATAAAGACAATATGGAAGGGTAATTATAGGTTTAAATTAATTTAAGCATAGTTGTTCATAAAATAAGGCTGCAATTGATATGCAATGTAGTTGTAGTATTAATTTCCAATCCCCGTTCCCAAGGGAATTGGTGGAAAATTAGTCACACCTCTACTCTAATTATGTTTGGGATGCTCTGCAGCTTTTTTCATGCTGCTTCTTCTGAACAGCTCTTCCATTGAGCCAACTGTCCTAATTCCATATTAATCTTGACAGGATGGTGGCTTTCCATGATGAGGACTTTTTATTCTCGTGGTGGACACCCGCTCAACCTCTCTGTTGACAGATGTTCAATGTGACACAACAATTTGTCCTGGGCTTATTTTGAACTTTCTCTGCCACAGCCCTGGACTCACCATTTCTCCAAGTAGCTCTGTTTCCTTTCAGTGGGGAAGGACATTTAAAAAACAAGATCTGGGTACTAGAGTGCTCTCTACTACTGAAATGTCATTGTTTCTAGGCCTTCTCAGCAGACAAACTTGCACACATATACACACACATAATATGTATGTTTATTTCTATATCTATCAATATACTAACAACCAATGAGTTCATAAAGATACCAGTCCAATACCACAGGGTTTATTCCAGCCTTCCATATTTCTTTATTTATAACTTCCTTCTCCAGTGAGAAGCAGTGAGAATCTGGCTGTTATTATGTTCAATACATTTACTCATTTGTTCAATCCTAAAATCCACAGATAACCCACTGCCAAAAAATAAGCCAACTAATTAGAGTTTGATATATTTATGGGTGTTTTTTTGCTTTTTACCTGAGTGTATATGGTCAAAATATTGTGTTCAACAATTACGTGGGTTAGTTCAGTGTAGTTACGTTATTCGTTTGAAATATAATTAGGTCCATTTTGTTTCTGACTATATTCCATTTTAGGATTCCCTCTCCTATTCTTCCTGGTTTCATTTTATTTTATCTTTTTTTATCTTTTTTGGCAGCTGGCTGGTGCAGGGATCTGAACCCATGACTTTGGTGTTATAACACTGGGCTCTAACCAACTGAGCTAACCGGCCAGCCACTTTTATCTTTTAAATACATAAAACATTTACGTGGTTTTAAAGGTCAAACTATATGAAAAGGTTGTCCTATTACTTAAGCATACTACTATTGATTGCATTTTGAAGAAAAATAAATAGTACTAAGCTATGGTAGCATTATTAAATTTTTAAAAAACCCTCTGGTTTTTCTGTAATTAAGTCTTTTTATATATTTTTTTCTTCAAAATAAAAGTTAAATCTTTACTGGGTATAATGGCATAATGCACAATTACCAATTATTTCTTCTCTTTCCAAATTCTTCAGCAATCAAACATAGAGGCTCTAAAATCAGGGATTCAAGGTAAAATTCCTGCAAACCAGATGGCTGAATTGTGGTTGAAGCTGATAGATGAAGTGATAGAAGACACAAGGTATAGTCATCTTATTTCTATCTCAGAATTCCCAACCATGCTCTCTTCCCTAAATTCTAAGACTGTAAGAGCCCTTTGAATCAGTTCTAGTGTTTGTCTGAAAAATAAATTTGAACTATTCAAGCTCCTTACAAGGCCCTCACTGGGAGGAGGCTCTGAATCACCACCAGGAAAGGCCCCACTTTCTGGTTTGGTGCCAGTTCTAAAGCAGCCTGGGAGGCTGAGGCCCCATTCCCAGAAGCACGTCCCAGGGCAGCAAGCGGTGGGAGTGGGGAGGAGGAAGGTCTCTGCCTCAGTTTCCCTTCAATCCATGGATGCTCACTGCCCAGAAGGAGGGGGACTCCTGGCTCTTACAGAGAATGGAATCTGGGGGTGGAGCATTGATTTTACCATTCAGAACAATATTCCTAATTCATAAACTCATGAAAAGAAACAGCCTTTTTACTTCTTCTTTTACTGAATGCCTGATGAACACTGGGCAAGGCTCTGCTAGGCGGATCCAGTAGATTTGACTTGAGCCAGAGGACCTTTCATAACTGTGACTTGGGAAAACAGCTCAGATCTTCTGGTATTTGGAAATCAAAGGGGGAAGTGATTCATTCCAAACTCATTTTAAATATTGGCTAACAATGCACTGGACAGGGAAATTCCAAAAGAAAAGCATATTGAATACTTTGCGCAAACAAGATGCAAGGCCTTTTTTTCCCTACTAGGCTACTGCCTAAGTCACCCTGTCTTATTGTGCCTTCTAGTGGTTTAGCCAGGTAATTGGAGTGCAGCTGAAGTCAAAGTACTGTTGGACACTTGTTTAAATCGGAGAATTTTAGAACTGGGTCCTAAGGGGTCATCTCTTCCATCTCCTTATCTTGTAGATGAGAAAACAGAGGCCCAAGGAGGTGAAATATCCCATCTGGTGCCCAGAGTTGGGTGT